GGATTCATTTCTCTCACCATGTACAAAAATCAACTCAAGATCGATTAAAGACTTAAATGTAAGACCTGAAGCCATAAAAATTCTAGAAGAAAACCTAGGAAAACTCTTCTGGACATTGGTGTAGGCAAAGAATTCATGACTAAGACCCCAAAAGCAAATGCAACAAAACAAAAATAAACAAATGGGACATAATTAAATGTAAAAGCTTCTGCACAGCAAAAGAAACAATCAGCAGAGTAAACAGACAACTCACAGAATGGGAGAAAATATTTGTAAACTATGCATTCAACAAAGGACTAATAGCCAGAATCTACAAGGAACTCAAACAAATCAGCAGGAAAAAAACAAATAATCTCATTAAAAAGTGGGCAAATGACATGAATAGATGTTTCTCAAAAGAAGATATACAAATGCTCAACAAACATGAAAAAAGGCTCAACATCACTAATCATCAGGGAAATGTAAATCAAAACCACAATAAAATGCCATCTTACCCCAGGCAGAATGGCCAATATTAAAAAGTAAAGGCTGGGCACGGTTGCTCATGCTTGTAAGCCCAGCACTTTGGGAGGCCGAGGTGGGCGGATCACCTGAGGTTGGGAGTTCGAGACCAGCCTGGCCAACATAGTGAAACCCCATCTCTACTAGAAATACAAAAATTAGCCAGGCTTGGTGGTGCGCACCTGTAATCCCAGCTACATAGGAGGCTGAGGCATGAGAATCGCTTGAACCAAGGAGGTAGAGGTTACAGTGAGCTGAGATGGTGCCACTGCACTCCAGCCTGGGCGGCAAGAGCGAAACTCCATCTCAAAAGTAAATAAATAAATTAAATTAAGTAAATAAAATTTAATAGATGTTGGTATGTATGTGGTAAAAAGGTAACACTGCTGGGGGAATGTAAATTAGTACAACCTTTACGGAAAGCAGTATGGAGATTCCTTAAAGAACTAAAAGTAGATCTACCATTTGATCCAGCAATCCCACTACTGTGTATCTACCCAAAGGAAAAGAAGTAATTATATCAAAAAGACATCTACACGCATATATTTATTACAGCACAATTCGCAAATGCAAAGACATGGAACAAAACTAAGTGCCCATCAACTGATACATGGATAAAGAAAATGTGATATATATACACCATGGAATACTACTCAGCTATAAAAAAGAACAAAATAATGTTTTTTGCAGCAACCTGGATGGAACTGGAGAACATTATTCTAAGTGAAGTAACTCAGGAATGGAAAACCAAATATCGCATGCTCTGACTTTTTTTTTTTTGGAGACGGAGTCTCACTCTCTAGCCCAGGCATGATTGCAGTGGCACGATCTCGGCTTACTGCAACCTCTGCCTCCTGGGTTCAAGCGATCCTCCCAAGTTCAAGCGATCCTCCACCTCAGTCTCCCAAATAGCTGGGAGTACAAGCGCGCACCACCATGCCCAGCTAAGTTTTGAATTTTTAGTACAGACAGGGTTTCGCCATGTTGGCCAAGCTGGTCTCGAACTCCTGACCTCTGGTGATCCATCCGCCTTGGCCTCCCAAAATGCTGGGATTACAGGCATGAGCCACCATGCCTGGTCACATGTCCTCATAAGTGGGAGCTAACCTATGGGTACACAAAGGCATATAGACTGGTATAATGGACATTGGAGACTCAGAATGGGGGAGGATGGTGGGGAGATATTTTAAAACTACATATTGGGAAGAATGTACGCTACTCAGGTGATGGGTGCACTAAAATTTCAGACTTGGCCATTATACAATTCATCCATGTAACCCGAAACCACTAGAACCCCTAAAGCTATTGAAAGAGAAATGAAAAAATTTCTCATCACCATTAATGGAACAAACAAATAACGTATGCCCCCTGGTACGATGTACTGACAATCCAACACTCTGGTGGTGTTCTTGCAAAAAATATTTCACCTGAATCTAATCCTGAGGGAACAATCAAACAAATACACTTTGAAAGATGTTCTGCAAAACCGGCCTGAACTCTTAAAAGTGCCAATGTCCAGCAAGACCAAAACAAAAGACTCCAAATTTAAACATGCTAAAGAAGCGTGATGGCTAAATGCATTGTGTGATCCTTAATTCAATCCTGAATCAAAAGAAAAAAAAAACAGCTATAAATAATATTATTAAGAGACTTGGTGAAATTTGAATATGGGCTACATGTTAGATAATAATATGGGGCCAATGCTAAATTTCCTAAGTATGGTCATTGTACTGTGGTTATGGAAGAGAATGTACTTGTTCTTTGGAGATATGTGCTGAAGGGCTAAATTGTTGCTATATCTACAAGAAACTCTCAATGTTTCAGCAAAAAGAAACAAGCAAATAAATAAACTTGTGTGTTTGTATATCAAAATAGAGAGATAAAACAAAAGTGGTGAAATGTTAACAATAGAACCACAGGTGAAGGGTAAACAGATGCTCATTGTTCTATTCTTGCAGCTTTTATGTAGGTTTGATATTTTTCAAAACACAAACTTGGACACTATAAATAATAAGTAATAAAAACAAAAAGACTTTTCCTAGTCACGTTTTCTGTTAAACCTTCCATGACATACACCTACTGCCCCTGGCCCCCCAACGATCACCTAAAACAATGAATCATACTCTCTCTTCTAGACTCTTCCAAGGTTATCTATCTCTCTGACCAAAGTATAAGCTCTTGGGAATCAGGTCCTGTATTGTGATGGATCTACACTGCTAAGATCGTACCTGACACAGATTGGATGCTCAGTTGATCCTCTTGTTAAATTAATCAAGCTGAGTCTTGAAGCTTGGATAGAATTCAGGAAGCAGAGAGGAGTCAGGCTTCTCAAGAGAGAGAAATGGCATGAGCAAAGATAAGGAAACAGGAATGTACATTTTGTATTTGCCAAAAGCATTTGCTTTGTTTGGTCAGAACTGAGGGTTTATATAGGTGAAAATGCCTAACACAGTATATAGATTCTTAATAAAAATCTGATGAATAAATGAATGAGATTTGAAAGGCAGGCTTAGATCAGATTGGAAAGGACTTTGACTACTGAATTGAGAAATCTGAACATTAACTAATTACAATTCTTAAATCCAGGGTGTTTTCCCATCCGGTGGAAAGAGAGTGTGTTCTTGGGGAAGTCCATTGCACATTTTCCCTAAATAACAAGGAAAATTGCCTTCCATCAGTGTGCTTAAAAAAAAAAGAGGAAAAGTAGAGACAAGTGGAATCTGAAAGTGACCTGCTTCCAAACTCAAGGGAGAAAATGTGTATCTATCCAGGAAAAGCTCCATAGTGGACTTTTAAAACATCCAACATCCCCAGATTAATAGGTGTCACAGAATATGAAGAATAAATAAATGAATCTATTTAATATGGGTCATGCTTGTCTTTGAAAATAGTGTCTGTGGCCGGGTGCGGTGGCTCACGCCTGTAATCCCTGCACTTTGGGAGCTGAGCAGGTGGATCACCTGAGGTCGGGAGTTGAGACCAGCCTGGCCAACATGGTGAAACCCCGTTCTCGTACTAGAAATACAAAGAATTAGCTGGGCATGGTGGCGCGAGCCTGTAATCCCAGCTACTCCATGAGACGGAGGCAGGAGAATGGCTTGAACCTGGGAGGCGGAGGTTGTGGTGAGCCGAGATTGCACCACTGCACTCCAGCCTGGCAACAAGAGCAAAC